CACCAGAAAGCGATCATCCCCGTTGCAGCTGTTGGCGCTGACAGCGCACGACTGAAAAGTGGTTGTAATCCCATGTTCGGGGTGGTGGTGGTGGCGGTGATAGGCACGGGAGGCGCAAGTGGTGGGCTCGCCGTTGAGGATGGGCGGATAATCGAGGAAGGAATTCATCCTTGCCGTGTCCATCTATCACCGATTGACCGGCTCTTCGAAGTCCTGGGTGACCGTGCCAACTTTCTCACTTCCTCCATGGGGGCCAGAAGAAAAATGATATGAATGTACAGTGAGGCGGTGACCACGTGAGGGCGGCAGCCAATGACTGCTGCGGCTGCCAAAGTTGCCCGGTTCCTTCCTGGTGATGGATCACCCTGGCTGTGGCATTTAAATTCTGAGCGCCCCTTCATCAAGGTGACGCGCAGACACCGCCGCCGCCTCCCTCCCTCCCACTCTCTTCTCAGCCAGCGTGTTGGGCTTGGGAGAGCTGGGCCGGCGAGCCAGTGTGCGCCCAAGCGCTCAACCTGGAGCAGCAGCCGCGGGAACAGCAGCAGTGAGAATAGAAAGCACTGAACGGCCGCCGGAGGGGGCTGCTCCAGCGTGGATTGAAGGACCCAGAGCCTGCAGGTAGGCAAATGCGCTCGCCATCAAATCGGTTGCCGCTTCTCCGGCACCCTCTCCCAGGTGTAGAACAGGGGGGAGAAGGCGAATATCCGGACAAGGGGCATCCGGGGGTCCTTCCTCCCTCGCTCGGGACGGTCCGAACCTGGGGCGAACCAACAAGAGGTTAATAGCTCTTAGTCCAACCTCCCGCGGCTATTTGCATGGAAATAAGGCGCAACGCCATTGTTGTTGCCGCGGACGCGGTCTTTGAATTCCCAAGAAGGGCGGTGGCTGTGGGAAGAACGTGACTGAACTGAAGTCAGGGCTCTGGGCTGAGGCTGCGGGTTTCTCCTGATGCTTGACGCCGTTTGGTGCGGAAAGGAAGCTCTTACAAAGGCTGCCATTGGCAGCGGTCTTCCATTCTGCCCAGCTCAGCAGCTGAAGAGGCAGAGCGCCTGTGCAAACCACTCGGCCTCCTCCTCCCCCCTCCCTCCCTCTCTCTCTCTCTCTCTCTCCCTCTGCCTCCCTCGACCTCCCTCCCTCTGCCAATCACGTGCGGTCTCGCTTGCCTCTTCCTTCCCTCCTTTCCCCTCCCCATTGGCTACACACCCGGTTTGAAAACACCAGACAGAGCAGGATGTTCTGTGAAATACCAACACTGAATAACTACGTCCCGTGATTAAAAGGAAGGGGATCGAGGAAAAGAGCTGAGAGGCAACAACGGTCCGGGAGTGATTCCCATTTAAGTTGCTGTACATCTTTCGTGGTGGCAGGGAAAGCAAAACGACGGTGGCCCTCTATTTGACTTCTGTTTCCCATCCAACAAGTTACTTCTTGGAAAGGTGCCATTAAAGTCACCGAATTGAGTTTAGAACTGGGCCGAAGTGCTTAGCTATTTATTAAGTGCTTTGATAGGATTTTTCTTGTTTTGAAGAAAGAAGTTCGCACAGAGACTTAATATTAAACAGAAAGGGATAAAATTAAGTGATAAAACAAAACAAGCAGGAAAAAGGCCTGGAGGAACTTTTGCTTCAAAGAGGCCAGCCCAAAACATTAATGTTTATGCATGCCTCTTTTCTAGCTTCTGATATTCTTATGAACAATTTACATTTATTAGCAACTTACCTTTGTGCCAGTTCTAAACAGTTAACTAGTTAATATCATTTCACTCACCAAATTCCATCCTAGACATTATCTAATTAGACTGCATTTTAATGTTCCCATTTTGATAATTATGAAAGTTAGGACCCAGTTCAAAATGTGAAGCCTATGCTAAAATCTAGCTATGAGCCATATAAAGACACACTTAATGTTTTTAGAACCAGGTCTCTGGCATTTTCTAGACAGGGCTAAATTCTGATATGCAGCTACAGCCACTTTTAAAAAAAAGTGATTGATTGATTGGAGGTTTATTGTCTACAGAGTTTTACACTCAGATCTCTTTTCTTTTAGGAACAGAAGAATGAAGAAAGTATCACTTTTCCACTTTAGAGTTTAGCAAACCATTTTCATAATTTGCAATAACACTCACAGATCAATTATCAAGACTTGGAAGCATATTCAGTGGATAATAATAGAATTACTAACCAGACCAGTGAAGTTAAGCACATTGTTGTTTACATTGTAGTTAAAAGGAAAGAATGTAGGTATACACAGATTTTATCTCCCCCCCCCCCCCCGCTAGAAAAACACAACCCCTGTTAGTGACTTTGAAAATAAAAATTTTCTGTTTTCTGTTAGCCCAAATAACTGTTGGAACAATTTTATTCTTGGCCCGATTTCTCTCTCTCTCTCTCTCTCTCTCTCTCTCTCTCCCTCCTCCCCTCTCTCTCCTCTCCCCTCCCCCTCTTTCTCCCTCTTGCTGCTTTCTTCAATCATCTCCCCTCTATTTCTCCTCCATTGTTCCAAAGAGCTTTCCCCCTTTGTCAGACTGCCTTTGCCCAAGAGCTGTGCATTCTGAAGCCAACACAACCGCCTCCCCCCCCCNTGTTCCTTGCTGGGATGCAGCTACCAAGGTTTCCAACTTGACTCTCGAACACACGACTTCGCTTCAAACTTTCACCTCTCGGGACTTTTCCAAGACCCGATCCTTTTTCTTCCTCCGCTGCCCCCCACCCCCCGCTTTGTCCCTACGGGTCCCCCTTTTTGCGAGGCTGTTTTCGGTATTCCGAACAAGCAAAACCGTTTGTGGCGTTTATCGGTTAGTTAAGACACTCAAGAATTTCCCCGAAAACCTTTACATTCCGGAATCATTGTTAGGATTTCTTCCTCCCCCCTCTCTCCCCCCCTTTTTTTTTGTGTGAGAACTATATGTCTCAGCATAGTTCTGGTCTCAAGGGAAAATCTGCTTAGGATCTGGAGGCGATTGATTTGTGTGGAAAGCTTCTTTGTCAGTAGAATAGGAGGCTCCCCACACTAACCTGCTGGTTCGCCTATAAAGTAAAACGCCTATAAACTAAAACAAAAACATGCTTCTTCAAAGAAAACGTTCTTCCCCGAAAGAGCGGCCTTCGATCGTCGTGCTAAGCGAAGAAGGGAGGGGGGGGGAAGGGAAAAGAAAGGGGGAATCCCTGCTGCACCTGAAGCTTAGCCAAGCAGTTGTTTTAACAGAGCAATAAAAAATGAATTATGACTAGCCGCTTCCAAGCTTAATGGTTTTAGACGGGGATCCCCTACCCCAGCAAATACGTAAGAGGATTTTTATTTGTGCATGTGTTCCTGCAATTGATCTCTTTGATGACATTCTCATTCACAAAAAGCGTTTGATTTATGAGTTTAGGAAGAATTGCATCCAGTCCTTCCAGCTATTACCCACGCGGTTCTGCGCCACCCCACATAAATGTGTTGCAAAACAGGGAAGCAATCTGCCATCAAAATAAATTCAGCCGGAGCAGAAGGTCTGGCAAATGCGAGCCTGTAAAGCCTGAATCATTTTTTTCCCCCTCTCCATATGTCTGTGTACCTACATAAACACACATACACGTTCTTCTTACCAAGAGAAAGGAAGAAAGAGATAGATTCATACATGCACACGCGCTAGCTCGCACCACACACACACACACACACACACACACACACACACACACGAAGGAAACAAACCTCATCTGCTAACACAGGCCGCTACCTTGTAGGACACAAAAGAACGCATATCAACCTGTATGAATGAATTCAATTAAACTGTACTAGAGGATGGACACACACACACACACACACACACACGTCCTCCACCACTACCTTCAATTAACAGCACTTTTAGATAGGTCTCTTCAATTTTTATGTGCTTTGGTGGGATAGCTAAAAGGTCTTCTGAAATGTACACTTGTTTAAACCTAGTTCAGACTGAGTTTTGGTGAGAATGCCCTTTAAACCCATTTTTTAATCCATAATTTATATGCCTTGCACAGTTAATAACTAGCTTTTACCAAAACTGGCTTGTCTGATTTCCTCTCTTGTAGATTTCTTTTCTTGGGACCTTTGGAACTCTGGGACGGAAATCCATCAGAAGTCTACCTTTCCCCACACCCAACATTTCTTTCCAAGACATGGTTGGCAGAAAGAATAAACACAGTGACTAATATAAATATACATTTTTATCTGTCTGCATAACTGCAGCAATCCTCCTAAGGAGCACTTTTTTTCTTTCTTTCTTTTGCGGAATATTCTCTTTCATATAGGTGCGAGAGAGACAAACTCAGTGTTTTTAATAGCTTTTAATAGCACTAAAGCAGTATTTTTGTGTATTTTTAATTCTAATATATGGTATGTATTAAATGGAGGAAATGCTTGTTTTTAATAAGGGTCAAAGATATTCTAAGTTATGGGAAGAATTGTAACACTGCATTTTTGGGGGGGATGGGGGAGAAGTAGGGGGAAGTAGGGGGTTTCAGTAGCTTTCTTCCAATAAATGTTTTTCTCAAGAAAAAAAGAACAGAGGTCTGTAACCAAATTTCTTGGCTTTATTTCAGACCAAAGGAGGGGAGGGGGCAACTCCTTGTGCTATATAGGAAGAGAGAGAGAGAGAGAGAGAGAGATAAAAAAAAAAGGTGCTTGTAGTAAACAAGAATTTATTCTACCAAAAATACTTATGACAATGCACCCTAATGTAATACAAAAATAAAAAGAAAGTGAAGATACAAATTTGATATGATCACTTTCTTACAGGCCATATATATTGCTTTCACAGAAGGGTCTAGAATGTGGCTAAATGCCATAGGGAAACGGCAAAGTACTGTAAATTCCCCCACATATCAGATAGGATAACCGAAAATGCTAACAGACAAAGAGAAAGAAATCAGATCAAAGGGGGAAGGGAAATAAAAATTAAGGAGAGAGAGAGGGGAAAAAAGAAGAAGAGAAAAAAAAAAAGAAGGCATAACCCTTGGCGCATGAAGAAGACCTGTGCTTTCTCAGTAATTCAGGTGCTGCAAGTCAATTGTGGTGAGCGTATCTGAGAAAAAGTCAAAGCTGTCGGCTGAAATATCTACAGGACTGTCGAGAGATCCTGGCAAACTGGGGGAGACAGCAGCGTCAGAAAGCTGTAGGCAGGAATCTGCAGAGAAAACGCTGAAGTCCTGCAAAGAAGGGACTTCCAGGGCCTCCGGACTGCCATTGTTCAGGGCAGCTGCACAGTTCTGGCCCATTGTTGAGAGGCAGTTGGGAACAGTGGGTGACTGGTGCTGAAAATGTTTGAGATTTTTCTCGTGGCTGGTTAAAGGCGAAACTGGAAAAGTTTGGGACTCTCCATTGTGGAGGCTTGGAGGCGCCTGAGGCAGGGCATTCTGTTGAAAAGGGTAGCTTTCCCTGTCCAAAAGAGCCCCCGAGACATCGACATCGTTGAGGGCTTGCTCAAAAAGAGATTTTTCTTCTTCCTCCTCCTCTTCCTCCTCTTCCTCCTCTTCTTCGGCTTTTTCGGGGTCCTCCAAGCCTTTGCATTTCCCTTCGCTGTTCTGGTTCTCCTTGCACTGGGTCTGCCTCTTGTGCTTCATCCGCCTGTTTTGAAACCAGACTTTGACTTGCCTCTCCGTCAGATCTAGGAGAGCTGCGATCTCCACCCTCCTTGGTCTGCAGAGGTACTTGTTGAAATGAAATTCCTTCTCCAGCTCCAAAAGCTGAGTGTTGGTATACGCAGTTCTTAGTCTCCTGGAGCCCCCATTACCATTTTCGGAGATCTCCAGAGATTCTGTTGAGGAAGAAAACAACCACGGTTAGAAAGATGCCTGCCATGGAGGGGGGGGAGTGAAAGGTGGAGAATTTGCCCCAGCAGGTCCTTTTGAGGACACTCCAGTCTGGAAAAAACAGTGTGGTACTGGTGATTGGAAATCTCTGCCTTTCATTCCTCTTCTCTCCAGAGCGTAAAAACATCTCAACTGCAACAAAATGGCCGCCCCGCGAATGCAGCAAAGCCATTGTGTTGCCCCCTTGCGCGCCCGCTCTCCGGGACCCCTTTTTCCCTCAGCTCAAGGAACTGCTTCGTCTCCATCTCCCAAACCGTCCCCTAGCCGAACAAACTTTGATATTAGTCATACCACAAATTATAATTAATGCATCAGCTGCTTAGCTGAGCAAGAGTAATCTATCACTCTTCATTACTGTCAAGGATCCCAACTCTAGGACAGCTAGACAAGAGGAGGTCACCTCCAACTCAAATAAATCATCCCACGCTAAACAAGTTAGGGGGAAAGAAACTTTGCTTGGGGTGGGGGCGAGAGAGGGTTGGTGCCTGATGCTTTTTGCCTGTGGATCCCACCACCAGCCTCCTTCCTCAGGGTTCAGTGCCTGAGTTAGGAAGGCAACGCTCCAACAGAGAGGCGAAGGCAGTGGGGAGGGTGGGGGAGAACAAACAAATCGTGGGGAAGCCTTGGGAAGCGGAATGGTGCAGCAAAGTCTTTCAACTGACCTTTGTGGCTCAGGCAAGCTGGTCCAAGGGCGGAGGCCGAAGCAGGCGGCGGCAGGGCGGTTTTCTTGGACGCCTTTTTCTCTTTCATCCAGGGGTACTCCGGAGGCTGGAGGGCGCCGGCTGGCACTGGGCTGCCGCTGTTGCCATTGGGGCTGTGCTTGGGGCGGCTGCCGCTGCTGTGGCGAGGGTGGCTGCCCGGTTTCAGGCTGGGGATGGTCTGCTCAAAAGGAGGAGGAATCAGTGTCGAGTGTGAAAGCGTCGAGTTCTTGATTGATGAACTTTGAAATGTATCACCGACAGGGGGAAAAGATGTCAGGCACTCAGCGAGCGATGGCTGACTATTGATAAAGCCAATCTCTCGCTCAAATTCGAAATTCATGGCCTTCAACTCGCAGCCCCCTTGGAGAAAAAGTTCCCTCTTATTTAGCGCTTCTGGGAGGGGGAGGGGGGAGCAAGGCCCAGGAAGGGGAAGAAGGGGGGGGGGGACCGAGAAAGAAAGAGAGAAAGAAAAAGGGGGAGACAGAAAGAAGGGAGAAAAAAAAAATCATAGAAGATCGCTCGTGGGGTGTTTTTTTTCTAATTCACTGATTACAGCCGTATGGGGACCGTGCTACTATTAAACTATTGAATTCATGGAGACAAGGTTGAAATTGGACCGAATTGGCTGTCACATGATTGCCTCTGCCCAATGACAATTTGGGCTTTAATCAAAAGAAGCCACTGTCTGTTTGATTGATCCAAAAAAGTCGAGAAGGAACGCCTCATTGGGGCCGGAGAGGCATTATTTACACTTTTTTTTTTTTTTTTTTTAGGAGGAGGCTTATCTCCGCTGCTCGCCCGCTCCCCTTTTGCCTCCTAATCTGAAATGGTATCTGGGGTGAGTGGCTGTGCTTGTGTGAGAGAGAGACTAGAGTGTTTGTGTGCCTGCGTCTCTTGCGGTCGCCGCTTGGCCGTTCGTTCCTACCGCCGCCGCCGCCGCGGCTCCTTGCAGCCACCGCGGCTCTGCTCACCCTGTAGGGCTTCTGCCCCGCTTGTTCCCGTCCTGCGCCCTCCCCTCCCATTGTTTGGCACTGTCAGGCAAGCGCTTCGCACCTCACAAATCATTTAAGCACCTCCAATCTGACGCCTTGAGTCATTAACAAAGTAATCCATTAATCTTCAAAGTTTTGACATTGCCGGCTCCGCATCTCAACCGCATCAGAAAGTTGCACCCGGCCCTGGGTTGCCAAGCGTTGAGCCCTGCTTTAGATTTGCATTTTATTTGTGTTTCTTCCCTTCACCACCAGTCCTAAAGAAAGAAATAATTACTTCCTAAAATTAAAACAAGCACCAGAACAAGGTGGGAGTTTCCCACCCTTCCCCAAGACTTGGCACCTTTCTGCATTTCTCCGGGGGGGGGCTGGGGGCTGGGGGGGGAGTGTTCCACTTTTCTGAACGGTTACAGTACAGGGAACAATTGGTGGCCGCGATCTTGGCATGTATCCATTGTGTAGAAAGAATTTTCTACAGGAACTTCGCTTCCATAGGCAGAAGTCAGTCCAGGGTGTCATGTATATATTTGAGTTGGCTGAACAGAAATGGATGGTACAAACCAGATGCATTTCCATCAGACACCCAAATCATAGAAATCACAAAAATGCTGTCGATTACAAGAACAAACAAGAGTACTAACACAAACGACAATGGAATCAGCTGACTCTGACTGACTGTTTTCCCTTAACCACAATAAAAATGGATCAGGTTAAGTAAGCAGTCTTGATGGTGAAGAAATACGTCAAAATTCAATATCGGTTTGAAAAATTATTACCAATCGTGTAGGAAAGAACTATAAAACGGATTCCCTTTCCAAATAAGATTGTTTGACCGACACCATTTTTTGTTTGCTTTTCTTTCCATTTGCTCATTCCACAAAGCTAAAGGCTTGGACAGAACAGTTCTTCAGTAGCTTCAAATAAAACGGGAAATGAAAGGAAGGGGGGGAGGAAACAATGGAAGGACAGGGGGATTCAGTAACAAGGAACAGAAAAGGGTATATTTCCTCTCCTCCAAATCAAAATATGCCAGTGCTGAGAAGAGAACAGAAGAGAAGAACGTAAGGTCCTGTGGCATTCCTATATATTTCAAGGACACTCCATATGTCCCCCACTTTGAGATTCTTAATTAGTCCTGGAAATTGTCACAAGGGTTTAAATGATAAACTGGTTGCTCCATTTCTGATGAAGCACAAGCACATCTGAGCAAAAGGAAAAAGAACAGCAGGCCTCTTTCATTTTTTTTGAGTGACTCACTGCCCCCCCCCAATATGGAAGGAAAGCTGGTGAGGGGGAGGGGTGAAATATTGTAATAATCTTAACATAAAATTCAAATGGAAATTGTTATTTAAGAAGAGAAGGGGAGGAAAGAGGGTGCCTTACAAATATATATATTTCTGGAGTGGTTTTTTTTTTTTTTTTTAATTTTCTTGCTTTACTTCAAACAAAGCTCTGCTGAAATCTAGGCGTGATCAATCTTCTCAGCCAAAATGCCTTGACAGCTTCTGGCCCTTAAGAACACATTTCGAGCTTCATGCTCTTTCCTAGATGAAATGTAGCTGAGCAAAAAAGAAGAAAGGTTGTTTGGGGGGAGGAAGAAACTCTAGTAAATAAGCCAAAGGGATGATGATGGTGGTGGTGGTGATGGTGGTGCTTATTTTCCCAAACGGATGATCCCACCTCGCTCTGTCCTCTCAGTGAAGGATAGAAACTTCAGCTTTTTAACTTGACTGCAAGACAGCCACAGGCCTAAGGATTTTATTTCATTATTTATTTATGGAATATTGATGATAACAGCAAGGCGTTGCTGGTGTGTGTGTGTGTGTGTGTGCGTGCGCGCGCTTGTGCGCCCCAGCTTCTGTATGTTATACGTAAAAGAACCCCACAAGGAGGTAAGACGAGCAAGGGAGGCGGCTGGGGCAATTCGGTTCACTGAGGCTTTGTGAGTTAAATTGGTGTGGGAAGAATATTTGGAAGATTTTGTTTTTGTTTTGTTTTTTATGTAGGCTGTGGGTTGTGGGTTCTTTTTCTTTTTTCTTCCCGTGGGCAATCTAATAGAAAAACCACCTGGAAAAAAGCTTTTCTTCTTAGTTGGCTTTTTTTAAAGTAGCCTTTTTTTTTCTTTTCTTATTTCTGTAAGAACGCACATTTTCTTGCAGATAAAATATATGCAGGATGAAGGGAAGGGGTAAACAAATGTCTTTGAAATCAGACTGGAGCACGGGGTGGGGGTGGGGGAATCCATTTCCTTTGTCTTATATATATCTTTTTAAGGGTCAGTTTTTCTGTTCTCATACCTGTCAGTTTTCTCCCTTTTTCTCTTGCTTTCAATGCCATTAATTTATATAATGCATTTTTCTTTAATTAATTTTGAAGGGGGGGAAAATAACACCCACAATCCCCTTCTATTTCATCTTTTTTCAAAAGATAGAAGTTTCAAAGCGATTCCTCCACTCCATAATTCTCTTTTAAATAGTTTTGCTTTTTCAATAGAGTTGGTGTTTTTACTATTCAGTCTGGAGCTAAGCAGCTGTAAAGTATAGAGGAAAATGGTTAAGTGAAGATAAAATGCTGTAAGTATGAAATGCAAAATTAGAATGTGGAATTTAGTATATTGCACAATCACTGGCCACTGGGAGCTTTTCAGATATGGAGGGGAGGAAAGAAGAAAAATACCAGAGAGATATTTTTTTTAATGAAAATATGAAGACTGATAATATTTTAGAAAGGGAAACCAATATGGTGGCAAATGTATTGAGATTAAACAAAATAGCCAGATCATATAGTGACATATTCTCCTACCTTTTTATTCATAATAAGACAAACCTGCATATACATACTGAGTCTTCCTAAACAAATTCAAGACAGCCGATAAACCTCATGCCTTCAAAATTCTGTTTAGAAATAAGGGAGGAGGGGTTCCCTCTATGGATTCTCCCAAGTTTTTTTTTTTTTTTTTAGCACAGATGTATTTGAGGGACAGAAAGGATCTTTTAGGCTGCATCAAAGGCTTGTTTAGAAATTGTGTGTATTTATGAGTGGGAGGGGTTCTATACATGCACCTTTATTATATAAATGATTTTTTTCTACACTCGTCCCCCTCCCCCGTTCAAGAAAGAATGAGAAAGATTGGGATGTGAAAGGAAATTAGATTAACAAGATGTACGGAATGGTAAATATTCCACAATTCCTGTAGCCAGAGAGGAGAAGCAAGCCTATTTGGTGGGGGAAACTATAAGGAATAGTTCTTTCAAAGCTGCCCACATCGCCTCGGGAACAGATTTATGGTTGCGGAATCCGTTTCTTCATTACTGGGATGATAAATTGTATCTGCCTGTAAACAAATGTGCTTTGAATCCCTGCCATGGCAAATATGAGCCCACGCGCTGGTTTTAAATCCACGGACTCTTATTCAGTTTCGTTCTCTTTAGGTAAGAAAAACAACAAGACTTGCCCATCATCACTGTTTCTCGATTGTCCATTTTGTCCCGTGGGGCAAAGTGTGGGGGTAAAAAACTCCGGTCGTTTCAGAGGGCCCCCCTCGCGCGGAGGCGAGAAGCAACTGAGAGCTTCCCAGCAAGAAGAGCCAACGGGAGAGAGAGAACAGCCTGCAGCCAGGCCGCCTGCGGCCTCCAGAGAAAAGTTACAGCACCTGAGCTTCTTCGTTCGGGGAAGAAGCTCCTCCAGAAACCAGCCTTTGTTTCTTCCCTAGCTCTCGCTGCTCTCGGACCCGGGTCCACCACTCTGAAGAGGGGTACAGCCGCGGACAAGACGAGAGACTGAGGCCACGTAGGCTCCCCCCCCCCCCAAAAAAAAAAAAATCTGCAAAGAGAAATGCTGACAATCAGGGATCTTTTCCAGCTTGGAGCAGTTTAGGGCCCTGAGTGTGCGGCTTTCCTTTGGGGAGGTCGCTAAGGCAAGAGCCGGCTCTGGAAAATTACTCGCTGAATCTGCCTGCCTCTGCGTCGGCAAGTCAAACGCGAACGACAGGAACGCTTGTTCGACCAGCCTTGGAGGTGCTGGAAGAGGCTTCGTTCGGTTTTAAGGCAACAGACGAGCGCGCAGTACCTTCTGGAAATACTTAAAATTTTGGCAGCTTTAAAAGTCCAGCCAGAAGAAAGAGAGAGGGAAATTTAAAAGGTTGGCTGTGCATTTTAAAACTCAGGGACCTCAATCGTCTCCGGAGTCCTTTTCCTCGTCCCTTTTGTCCTTGGATTGGGAGTGGGGGATGGCAATCAAATGTTCTGTCATAAAATTTCTATTATTCAGAACAAAAGCTTTTATTTAGTAAGTTAGTTTTAAGAATGTGAGTGTATCCTTTTGAAAACAAATCAATGATCCTTTGTTGTCAAATCCCAGTTTACCCATTTTCTACTACCTAGATTATCTATAGACATTCATTACTTTCCTACTCTGATGTGTTGTTTTCCAGATTTTATTGCATTATTTCTTTTTAAAAATAAATAAATAAATAAATAAATAAAAGCATTCTGGTTCCTTTTTCAAATGATATTCTCCTTATATGCCATTGATACAGCCAGTCAAATATTTCCTGAATACTCAGGGTAAAGAAGTTTATTTTTTTTAATATCTTCATATATATAAATATGAACAGATGGGGATAAATAAAAAATTTAAAACACTTAAGATTATTCAAAAAAATATAAATAAATCTGAAAGTTCACCAGCATACACACGTTGAAAGACGTATACACGTATTAATCATTTTGCTCAGGAGTCCCTGTTCAAGCGCCTTTTTTTTTCCTTATCTAAAAGAAGTGCAATTAAAATTAAAAAAAATGTTTCCCAGATGGGACTGATTCTGTATGAACAAATTCACATTTAAGAACTGTCTGTATAGAAAATTTGTTCATAATACCCTGTTTTGATAAAAGAGTCAAAGTTAAGAGTACAAAGCCTATGTATACTCTCAAAGTGAGATCACAAGGCAAGAGTTCAAGAAGGTAAATATCCACTATTGAAACGAGAGAGCAATTCAAGCAACAAATATTGCTACGTCACATAAACTGGAAACCGCATTTTACTAAAAAGGAAAACACAGAACAAAACCCATAAGCAAATAAAACTGTTTGTATTGGGTAGCGGCGGGCAGGGGGGACAGAGATTTAAAACTTGGGGGTTTTACCCCCCCATTTCTTAAAAATAAAACTTGGGAAGCTTTTAAGATTCACTATATAACCAATGGTATATTACAGATGGGTCAGTTTGGGCGCTTCCTGAATTCTTCCCTGAGAAGGATGGTGAGAAGCAAGATCTGTGTATGTTGGGTGGGGATCACAAGGTCCATGATGATGATTGTTGCCCATTGCCCCACTATAGTCCATATTAGCAGAGGATGGGTGAGGGAGATGAGTTAGACCAAATATAGATGGTCCCGAATTTCCCATGGTATCCACGTAGTTGCCCCCAACGTAGACGGGACTTCCCTGTATATGTGGATTGCCATAACCATTGCCTTGAAGATGGTGAGGGTCGTATTCAGGTGTCACTGCTGCAGTTCCGGTGTATCTCTTTTGAGGAGGCGGGCAGCTATTGATAGGAGCTGGATATGATGTAGGGATGCTGTAAGAATTCGGATGAGACTTGTTGAAAGATGATGGTGACTGAGGCTCATATGGAACACTGTTGACCAGGGAATGCATAGAATTCAGGTAACCTCCAGCAGTTGAAGGGACAGGACTTCTGCTGGGGGACTGTCCTCCAGAAGAGGTCATCATGCCTTTGCCCTTCTGATCCTTTTTGTATTTCATCCTGCGATTCTGAAACCATATTTTGATCTGTCTTTCAGTGAGATTTAGGAGGTTAGCCATCTCTACCCTTCGTGGCCTGCAAAGGTATCTATTGAAGTGGAACTCCTTTTCCAGTTCTACCAGCTGGGCGCTGGTGTAAGCTGTGCGGGCTCTTTTAGAAGAAGCTTGCCCTGGGGGGCTTTTATCACCAGCACAACTCTCACCTATACAAATCATACAAAGAACAAGATAAGTAGGATGATACCTAGCATACTATGACCAGAAATAATAATAAACTACTACTTGCTAAATTTGCAAGTACACTCAGAGATCTAATGTTAGAATGGCTCACTCTGCCCAAACTAATAGTAAATGTGTATATAAATGGAAGGAAGACTGATCAAAGGCCATTTGCTGCCTGAGCCAAAGTACCGAGTGGTGTTCTTCCATTCAACCATCCTGCCTGGAATCAATCATGATGAATGGTCAGTGTCTCCCTCATACTGAGGCTAGCAAGCTATCCTAAGAAGAGCACTGATTACAGATCCCTCCAAACCTAGGACCCTCCAAGTATATTTGACTTCTAATTCCTTATCCCCAGAATAGCTATATAGAGTGAGGGTTATAAGAATTGAAAACCACCAGGCTAAATAATAATCTGGTCTTTTCCATCCCATTTTAATTCTCTGATCTGGTAAAAACTGCCTGAGGCAACCATTTCTAGAAAAGGAGCCATGCAGTTTTCAAAAACTACTAGAAATAACAGCTCCTCAGAAATGTAATTTTTTACAAGAAAGATAAACAAAGGAGCTAATGACATAGATGGTCAGATTATTCTTCACAGAAATACCTCCTTACTTGTGTTGGATTAGTCTTCAATAACATGGATACCTTATATCAGTAAAATCAAAATATAACCCTGATAGCAAACATCCATTCTCCCTCCACTTCCTTCTCAGGGTAACCTCGGACACTCACCTGCGGTAAAATATTTCTTGGCTTAAAGCCAGTTTGAGCCCATTGAAAAGAATAGAGTGAAATAAGGCCATACAAGGCCAAATCTGTGACTGAGTTTAAAGGAATATACTGCTTGATGCCCACAAGAGGCTTTGTACTGCAAAATCCATCAGGCTCAATTCACTCAAGTAATTTAGCGGTATTATGGGAGATGTAGTCCAAACCAAATGGAGGACACTTCCTTCCCTAAGTGTAAAAGTAGCCTTTATAACCATTTTGAAATACAGGTAAAGGTAAACTGTTTATCATTTATTTATTTAATTGCCCTGTGTCTACAGGGAGGGAGAATACTGAGATGTTTTCAAAAATGCCCTGTATTTTTCATCACTTTAGGGAAGAAACCACTGCTGAAGCTACCCAGTACTTTCAACTCTGATTATCAGAGGGGAATTTTGGAAGTATATAAGTTGTTCTTACAAGTTTTATATGCTTAAGCTTAATTTATGTATCTAAGCTTCTGGCTACTGAACAATGATGAGATAAAGCTGCAGCTTAAAGCATATCTACCTAAAAGGCTTTCTAGCTTTATTTCCAAATATAAGCATTTAGCATCTACTCTTAGTATTCCGATTGACTAGAAATACGGATTCTGGTTTTGTAAGCTAATATATATAGAGAAAAATATAGAGCATGGAACACTGAATACCTTAAACAATAAAGCCTGCTTATGTTGATTTTACTCTAGGATAGCATTAGAAATGCATTGAAGAAAACATTTCCAAAAATGTTTAGAATCTACTTTCTCAGTCCAAGATAAATTGCGGAAGTAAATGATAAGTAGAAGCCAAATGCCTGGGGAAAAGGACGCTAATACTTTTCTCATCGATTTGGGTTTACTTATGTAATAACACTGTAGATAAACACTGTAAATCCACCCATAATGTATTTATGGACCTGCCTGCAGAGTGCTAAAGAAACCTAAGCTTTGTTCCCACTCCTATAAGGCTGCCAGTCTGTGAGCTAAAATCAAAGGAGGTTATGAATATCAAACAAAGCATTGATCTTGACTGAAGATCATGATGAGCTATTTTATTCTCATTACGCTTCAGCAGGAATAGGTCGCTGGCTTATTGCTGGAATAGAATCAAGCCAAAAAAAAAAAAAAAGTGCTAACACTGGTGGAAGACAGGCCAGGGGCTTGTACATATCTGGCTCTGGTTTAATAGCTGCCAAAGGGGGAGGGAGAGGCTGCAGTATGGAATGTTGAAGATTCTAACAGGCATCCAAGCTTGAAAAGAGAGACGCAAAGGAACTTCACATTCTTTTTTCAGAGTTGAACAGAGGTCACCATCAAGCAAACTGAAGCCTCTCTCATCACCCGGACTCTCTGGAGATGGGCTTGTGTGTGTATGCACAAATGAAATAAAATAATGCTTGTGATCTCGAGAGATTGCACAGGTTCAATTTCCCAGTAAAAATAGCGGGGAAGTTTCATGTCCCAAGAAGTTTAGCAGAACTTTTTGACGGGTGGTGGATCAGCTGCTTGGGCTAGGACTGAACCCCTCCTGCTTTCTCCAGTTAACCCCTCCCCTATTCCATTACCTGAACTGGAGCTGCTGTTTTTCTGCTTGGTGTTTTGCCGAGATTCTTTCATCCAGGGGAATATTTGTTTGGACATGGTAGGTGAGTTCAGGATGGAGCTCTTTGTGGCATTGGCAGGGGTGGTGTTGGCAGTGGCATTTTGAGGTGGCGACACGGAGGGGGGAGGAGGAGGAGGAGGAGGAGGGGGCAGTGGTGGTGCCTGCTGGGTCGGAGGCTGCTGCTGGGGCTGTTCTGGTAGGACTGGGGGCTGGAGAGATTGGCTGGGGATGGTCCTCATACAACTCTCGCTGATTTCATTGGCCTTGTGATGGGACACAGTGCTGTTGGTGCCGGCAGTGGGGGACTGCAAAGAACATGCAGGTCGATGGTACTCCGTTTCCACCAGCGCTGAAGCAGAAGGCAGAGGATATTGCTGCTGACTAGCATTGTAAGCGAAACCATTTGCTCCTTGGTAGGGATAGCCTCCATAGATCGCAGAGCTGTCGTAGTAGGTCGTCGCTTTTTGCATTTCGTTGTTTCCCAATATTTATTTCATAAACTGACAGGGTCTTGACACCCTTAAAGAATAACATTGGCACCACTCTGTCACATGACGTTTCTCCTCCAATGGCCTCTCCTGGTAGACCTAGGGTGTAGGGAAAGCACAGGAGAGTGGAGAAATAGTACAAATCCATCTTACTTTCAATAGCTAAGTGACATGAAAGCCATAACAGAAAAAGTGGTCAGCAATATTTAGCAGCATGACTTGGCCTGAAGGCGAAGAGAAATTCGGTAAGAGGAGGGGTAGGGAGAAATAGAAAGAGATATGCAGAGATTTACTGGCAGCCCAGATTGTGTGGTTTACAGATCCAAGAGAAAGTAGATTTGGGTGATATCTAATCACACACACACTCACATCCACATGCAGGCTAAGAATTGTTTTATCTTTTCTCCCATAAAAAGGGCTCTGATCGATCCCTGCAATAAATGGCCTCCAGATAAGAAAGAGGTTGGAGCAGATTGTTTTCCATAACTGATTTAAGACTATGAAGGGTTTCAAAGCACCACTTATGCTTTCCTTTTGCTTTCCTTTTGAGAAATATCACATTGTTTCCCTTATTTATTGAAAGAAAAAGAAAATCTTGCTGTACTTTACTTAAAGGGTTGGATACAATGCCTTTTAAAGAAAAATCAATACATGCATCTTCCAGGCTCACCACGAAGAGTGACTCAACAGTCCGACGCTGGAGGAGTTCGAACTCACAAAATGTTGGCTAGGAAACCAAAAGATTTGATAAATGGAACCCATAATGACCCTCGTGTGTTGAAACTGCACAGTGGCTGGGGATATCCCAAGCTTTCTCTGTTTAATAATCAGCCAACTTCCTGCGCATAAATTAGCTTTAACTGCTGCCAGTTTAGACAGGGACACAAATCTGGCCTCTCTCATCCAATAGTCTCCACATGTAGCAAACGGGTAACAGTCAGAAATTATCTTCCAGTTAGCGCTCCTTGGTGGGAAGTTTCAGGCCTGTCCCTTTGGTTGCTTCTGTCCTTGCAGGATCCCGTCCTAATTGTTTGAGGGTGTATCAAACCTGACATTATTACTATTATGGTTGGTTGCGCAGTCAGTCAGATGTTTTGAATTATTATTTTCCCCTTTCCCTCTTTCATGAATATATTCACAAATGTCTGGAAAAAGGCACAGCGGCTAGTGCCCATCTCCATGACCACAGCTTGAACCTTCCTCCTAACTCAACCATAATAGGTTCTGTCCCTGAGACTGCAGTGTCATTTGATGTATGGAGGTCATTTGGATGCAGACAGAGGAATGGGTGCACAAAACCACAAACACTCTTACAAACCAGCCAAATATTTTTTGTTCACTCAACAATGTTTACCTGTCTGAGCAGAATCAGCTAGAGAAGGGGTTGGGTGGGATTTTGGAGGACTCCTTATCTGCAATCCAAGGAACTTTTTATAGATCATCAGAACCACCAGTTAAAAACTTAGCACTTCCACACCTTCTCTCCAAAGTCCTCATATTCACACAAACATTCCCAACTCAGGTTCCAGTCAAAACAGTGGGCTGCCAGGGTATCTTGCTGGAGGGAAACATTTCACACTACCACTTCACAAGCATACTCAGATTAATTGCAGGAGTTTGCATTTCAGTTCACTCAAGTTTCTTTCAGAACAAGGCACACACAAACACACGCGTGAGAGAACAATTGATTTAATAAACCTTTTGCAGATGGCAGCTTCCTTCGACAGAGGGTGAAGCTATCTTCTTTTATTGTTTGCTGGGTTTTAAAAACAACAGTCAAGTCTTTCAAAAGTTATAATAAACAACCTATATTGAAAAATATAGAAGCTGAATTTCAGCTGCAGTTTAGGTTGGTAGGAACTGACTTTATCTGATTTGGGAGTAAATTTACTTTAAACTCCAGAACTTTACTTTGAATTTGACTGGGGAGCCTGAGTGTTGCTATCTGTTTCCTAATGTCTCTTCTTAATTTCAGACTTTTAACACTTTTTCCTTTTTCCTTGGGGGGTGGGGGTGGAAATGTTAGTTCACTTTTTGAATTAAGAAATGTGAAACAATAAGATGCTGGCTGCTTCCTTTCTGCCCTTTGCAGAAAGAACTCTTATAAGAGTTCCCCAAAGTCTCTTTTGCTTGTAAGTAGGGAAAACAATGAGCAAAAGAGACTTTGGGGTGAGACAGTCGGGCAGCCCCTTTCCTGCTTGTGGATAGTCAGTGCAAACAAAAAGCAGTTAACAACAATGCCTGCAACAGAGGAAATAGCTCCTGTTTAAAGTTAGGAAAAAAAATACACAATATCACACTTTACAATTAGTTGTTTTTCTAAAGGTAAATGCTTATTTCAAGAGAATGCAAATGTAAGAAAACACAAAAAAGCAGCCAGTGAGGGAGAAGCACTAGTATTCCATCATCAAAAAGTCTGTCTGCAAATCCAATGACTTCAAAGTATGACTTCAAACTCACAGTAGATTATCTTGCCAACCTGCAGGCTGATGCCTGTTTTTTTTTTTTTTTTTTTTTAAAAAGCATCTATTTGACACAGGTTTATTTCAAAAACTGCTCCCACTTGATTAAAAGGAACATACTTCTTGCACCCATTACCAGGATTGCAACCTTACAGCCCAGTCCTATTCCTGTTCAGCTCAGAAGGAAGTCCCATTATAGCAATTGAGACTGGCTCTCTGGAAAGCCTGCATAGGATGGCAACTTTGATTCAGGAATACTGTGGGGATAAGAAAAAAGTGAGATCCGCACTTGATGGAGAGATCTTCTCCTAAAATCTCCGAAGCAATGCAAAGTTTTCTTGGAAAGACTTATTCCTCCCCCCCCATCCACCACCATCAAGGCTCACACAAAGAATCCAGTCTTCCAATCACGACTATATTGGCCGGATCCACAATGCAAGAAAAGTAACCGTGATGCACAGTTTCTGGAGTTTTTGCAGAAACTACTGGGTTGAATCCAAAAATTATCAATGTTCTCTTAAACTAGCCGGCATACCAGACTACAGGTTTGGAGTCTTTGTCTCTGTGTTCCTCTGGTTTACCCTTCTACCCACCCCTCCTGTAAATCGTGGTCCACGCGGGGACCCCCGTTTACATTCCCCACCCACTTCCCCACTGCTGGCCTCCTCTTGGCGGGGCCGGAGATTTCCTGCCAGATAAAGAAAAGTTGAGGGGAGAGGGGCACCCGGCCTGAACTCGACGTGAAATGGTCTATCCGTCACTGCCTGGAAGGAAGCTCCAGCCTGTGAACTCTTCTTGAACCGAGATTTAAGTCTCTGGTCATAAATCAACCAGGACATAAACTCCGGCATTCACCACTGATAGCCTGCATATTTGGGGCTTGCTTACCTTAATTCTGACGACTGAGGCGGAAGCCAGTATTGGTCTTTGGAGGCTAGACGACAGTCGTTCCCTGCCAGTCCAGGGATCAGGCTCTCCCCATTTCACTTTAACCCCTCCGCCCTGACCACTAAGTGCCTTCTGCTCCTCCGGGATGGGGACCAGTTCAAGTCATTTCTGCCAGGACGAGCCCAAGAGTCAGAACCGGAGGCGCCCTGCCTCCGCCAGGAAGGGGACACCCAAGAAGGTCTTTCTTCAGCTTGCCTCCGATGGAGTGTCCCCCCCTTGCCCTGTCCTTACCTCATTCCGGCCCCAACCTCCACGCCCCCCACCTCGCCCCTGGGGCTGAGCGAGAGTCCTGCCTCGCTACCCTGGACAAGCTCTCTCCTGGACCGGATCGCTGGGAAAAGGCAGAGGGCTGCCTATGCAACCTTGTACGCCCAAGGGGGCGTTTGTTGGGAGAAAGGAGGCAGCTGCCTCGGGAAGTCCGGGGCAGGCAGGAGAGATGGGGGGGGGGGGGAAAGAGAGAGAGAGAGATGGAATGGAGTGAGTGAGAAGAAAGAGGCAGTGAAAGAGTGAAGGGACAGAGAGGCATTAGAGGCCAGGAAAATTATGCTAATCAAGACAAAGGATGTTCACAAAAAGGTCATCGCCCTCCCCAGACCTTTGGTGGTACGTGTGTGTGTGTGTGTGTATGTGTGTTTGTTTGTGTGTAAAACACACACAAACATAAATTTCACACTCCAGTATGGCAACAGCTTGATAAATAATATAGAGAATTCTGGGCGGGGTGGGGGAGAAGGAAGGCATAGTTTAAAATCTAAAGTTATGCCACATATGGATAAACACTACCCCACCTCCACTACACACAATAGAATGTATACTTCTGGTTTCCCCCACAATCCAGGGCAATCTCTACAAGGGGAGGATTAAAACAATGTAGGTGACCACCATTAGATGCCCACTTCCCCACTTCTCCGGTTGTCCTTTCCCTAAGGCAAGCATTGACATATGCATCATCCAGGAAACAGCACAACCTTCCCTTTACAAAAGGAGCACTTAATATTTAGGATAGAAGGAGAAATAATGCCTGGCTGGATAACCAGTGAAATAAACTTGCCCATCTCCTTCCATGTCAGTGGGAGGAAATAATTATCAAGGTTCTAATTCCAAGTAAATGTAACTAAACGCTAGATAACTAAAGCAAGGACTAATAAAGGCTAGGATGTAATTGTGAGGTTATACCCTCTGGAATATTTTGGAGAGACGAATATTAATTTGAAATAAGGAGGAATAATTTCTCAGTCTTGCTGAAAGGTATCAAGACTTTCTAAAGCACAGTCGGGTTAAGGATTTCTGTCTGTGGTTATTGCCTACCTTCCCGGTATCTCAATTCACATTATTTAACAAATACTCACGGCCATGCTGATCAGCGCTGCTGTTTTGGTAACTTTGGGTTTCCTTATTCTTCTTTCTCTTTCTCTTCCTCCCTTCTTTCTTCTCTCTCTCTTTTCACCTTTCTTTTTTCCACTTCTCCTTTCCTCCTCCTTTTTCCCCTTTCTGCACTTTCCTGCCATTCTCTTGCTCAAGTAGTCTGACATTTAAAATAACATCAATAAGTAGAATAGAGTTTCTAATAAC